GAAGGAAGGAAGGAAGGAAGGAAGGAAGGAAGGAAGGAAGGAAGGAAGGAAGGAATGACAGACACACACATGAAAACTAAGAATCTGCAACACGTTTTACCTATGTGTTGGGGAGAAATTGGGTGTGTCCACCACTGCTGTCTATAGTGAAGTTTTGACTAATGTATGCACGTGAAATAAAAAATGTCCTCGAAGCTTCTCAGGGCTGCGGCCCGCTTAGGTATTTATGTCTAGTGATGAAGGCAAATGCAATTCAGTCTGCTGAGCATAAGAAAAACCATCCCCAGACCCACTCCACTATCTTTCAACATAATGCATTATACTCTTTTCCCAGCAGATAACATTGCTCAGAAAATCCCTTCATGGGTTTCTCCCTTTCCAAAACTTGGGTTCTCACTCTTTTCCCAGAAACAATCCTCTTTATTGAGTATATCTACCACAGAGACACTGGTCGTGCTTCAGGAACATCAGCATTCACATTATTTCTGTGCCTTTGTTTGCAACATAAATCCCTGAAACCCTGTCTCCGAGAGGGAATGTTGTCATTCCTGCCATGGGGTAAGGCATTTAGCTTAGTGTTAATTTGCCATCAGCGTAATTTAAACAACTTCATAAAATATAAATGGCATGAAATGGAAACGCATTTGTTTTGGTAGCAGATGCCTCTGTTTTATGTGAGGAAGTTAGTCTCATGGTTACAGGCACATTGGGTCCCCTGCCAGGGCCTTCAACATAAAACACGGAGGTTGGACGCCACCCATATTCTAGAGAAATGAACACAATTGCTTGGAAATGCCACACTGATACCTTTTCCACAAATGCCAGAGAGAAACAAACTAAAATGGGACTTTTTTTTTTTTTACCCCTGCAGAGAAGAAAGAAAATCAGAAGATTGAGTCTTACTGTCCTGACAGGTATCCTGAGATGTGTTATCTTAAGGGAACACTTTTCTGGAACAGAAAAGAACTTCCAACTAATACGGCTACTTCTAAGGTAAGGCTGTGTACTGCTTTTGATAGCAGGGATAGGACAATATACAAAGTCCCCGTTGGGCCATGTGATTAGTCTTTTCAGCCCATGGCTTTCGAGTGCTTCTCCTTCTCTCCCATTACACCTCTCTGTGACATTCCATTGTTCATACTAGGGGGATATGGGAGGAAAGGGATTTCATTCATTCATTTATCAAATACTTGCATTTTTCTATGTGCCATGGATTTTTTACTCACAATGAATACAAAGGTGAACATGGCAAATTGCTAGTTTTCTAATTTTCAACTTCGGTCAGCCTATTGTATTCTGGGGCATCTCTATGAAACATGTAATAACTAGTAAAATCATAGTTTTTCATCTAAAGAACTGTCCCTTGTCTCTTTTGTATCTGGATTGGTGAAATCAGGTAAGCTAGCCTGTACGCAAGTGTGGGATTCTCTCCTTCTCTTCCTTGATGTTTAAAGATGGTCAACACTTTGGTTTTGGCCGCCTTTCAAAAGAGGCTGTCTCTCCATCTCACACTAAATGTGAGTTATTGACCTTCCTCTCACAATCCTGCTCCTCTCTCAGCCTTCCCTATCTTGGGTGATGGCCACTTCATTCTTCCAACTTGTGGGCCAAATCCTTGAAGTGGGTCCTTGACCCTTCTCTTTTTCTGACACCTTACATCCAATCTGTCAGGAAACCTCCCTTGCCTCTACCTTCCACATGCATCTGGAACCTGATCTCTGCTCCCTACCTCTCTGCTACCTCCCTGGCTCAAACTGCCATCTTGTGTCTAGGGTAGGACTGGAGCTTCCTATAAAGTCTCCCTCCTTCCACCTTTGCCATCCTATAGTCTATTTTCAATGAGGCATCCGGAACAATCAGTTTAAAATGCAAGTGAGATCATGTAGCTCCTGTTCCCAAATGCCTGTAATTAGGTCATCCTCACTGTGGTCAGAGTAAAAGCCAAAGTCCTTAGAGACTGAGATCTGGTTCCTTTCTTTCCCTGGCCTCACCTCCTACACTCAACTCCCCGCCCCTCTCAGTGTCCATACCAGCAACCTCTTTGCTGGCCCTGAACATACTGGGTACACTCCAATCTAATGGCATTTGCACCTGAGTTAGCTGTTGCCTCTGTTCCTTTACCTAGAATGTTCTTCCCCCCATATATTCATGGCTGACTTCTCCATTTCTTTTAGGTCTTTGCTCAAAAGTTTCCTTCCCCCTGAGATCTACTGTAACCATCCTAAAATTATAACCTTTCTCATTTACACAGTACATCCATCCTCTTTACTTGCTCTGTTTTCCTCTCCCTCCCCACACTTACCACTTTCTTACCTACTATGTAACTAATTTCTCGTGTCTTGTTTCATATCTGATCCCCCCACCCCCCATGGGTTGGTTGTGCCATGCAACTAACTGGTCCTTGCCCAGGAATTGTGACAAGTTAAATATGTCACTTCCAGGTTAGAGCATTTAATTGCTGACATGAGACACTCTGGAACTCTCTTGTCTTCTGTATGGAAATCAGCAATGTCTGTGAATGGGGACTTTGATCCTTGACTTATTCCAATGAGCAGGACCCTTCCACCTTTTCCACTCTAGCAAACTACCACAGACATAAGAGCAAGAAACAAGCCTTTTTGTCTTGCCACTGAGTCTTGGGGGTTGTTTGACGGCACAGCATTGCCTAAGCCACTCTGATCGATGCAGGGAAGATGGAGAAATTGCTTACCCAGTGTCACACAGCCAGGAAGTCCAGACATTCCTCTATGACACATAACAAATTTCTGAAGGTGTGTTGGAAACACAATGGTCTGAAAGTCAAACAATATATTTGCATGCTTTAAATTGAAGACCAATCCCAAGGAACTAAAGCCATTTATAAAACCCAACCTGTGGGCTGTGCAGATGCTGCCTTCTTCAGAATCAGACAACTAGTCAACAGATGACAACTTCAATAGAGGACTAGGTACAGGTGAGATTGGCTGCAGCAGGGTTATCGTTATCTTATCATTTCTCTTTTCCACTGGGTAGGAAACCACTCCAAGCAAATTCCTGGTGAATCCCCCTTAACAAGCTGCCTCAGGGACTGAAATGACCAGCACAATGGTTCTCAAACCTGTGTATCAGAATCACCTGAAGAGCTTATTAAAACACAAGCTGCTGGACCCCACTCCAGTGGGTCTGGAGTAAGCCTGAGAATTTGTATTTTTCATAGTTTTCCACATAACTCTCATGATACTGGTCCAGAGACTACACTTGAGAACCATTAACAACAATAAGCAGTCCAAGTGTCAATTCAAAAACAAAACAGAGGCTCCGGGGTGACTCAGTTGGTTAAGAGTCCGACTTCGGCTCAGATCATGATCTCACAGTTTGTGAGTTTAAGCCCTGTGTTGGGTTCTGTGTTGACAGCTCAGAGCCTGGAGCTGGCTTCAGATTCTGTGTCTCCCTCTCTCTCTGTCCCTCCCTCTTCTCACACTCTGTCTCTCTAAAAAATAAACATTAAAAAAAACACACACACACACACACACACAACTATATTTGTAGGCTACAAAATATTTCTGGTAAGAACTTCCAAATTCCAAAATTTCCAAATCAAGTTAGTCATCATGGAAACAGAACTTTCTTACACCTCTTATGGTTTGGGGTTAGGGTAATCACACATCCCCTTGCTCAGAACATTCCTGACTCACACCTACTGCCCCAGCGTTTGTGTGTCAACAGCCCCTCCTTTCACTCTGGTCAGTGTCCAGGTCTGAATAAGTTATATGATTGTTCTGGGTAGGCCTGTTTACATTTTTTTTTTATTTTACAATTTTTTTCAAGTTTATTAAAAAATTTTTTAAACGTTTATTTATTTTTGAGAGTGAGACAGAGCATGAGCAGGGGAGGGGCAGAGGAGGCAGGGCATGGGGGAGGGGGCACAGAATCCAAGCTCCAGGCTCTGAGTTGTCAGCAGACTGTGAGATTATGACCTGAGCCGAAGTCAGACACTTAACTGAGCCACCCAGGTGCCCCTAAGTTTATTTATTCATTTTGAGAGAAAAGAGCATGAGCAGGGTGGGGCAAAGAGAGAGGGGAGAGAGAGAATCCCAAGCAGGCTCTTGTTGTCAGTGCAGGGCCCTTTGAGGGGCTCAAACTCACAAATTGTGAGATCACGACCTGAGCAGAAATCAAGAGTGGAACGCTTAAACAATGGAGCCACTCAGGTTGCTTCTAGGTCTTTTTACATTTTTGACTTTGACTTACGATGGTTTAAGGGCCTCAAAGATCTTAATCCCACCAAGGTTGCTGTGCTGTTGGGAGAAAGACCTGTGTTTTTGCTAGCCTCAGGACCCCTGTTGGTTTTCACGGGGGGATAGGGAGTAGGGATGGAGGAGGGGGGCGTGTTGAACATGGGCTCCTCCCCGTAACTGGCCAGCACGCTGCAAGAGCTAGGAATCAGCCTTGCTCACTGATACATGCAAGACAAAGTCAAGCATAAAAAAAAAGCTTCTGGGGTGCTGATGTATAATGCTGAAAAACAAAGACTGTCAGAAAAATGAAGATCTCAATATGCACCCCTGTCCCCAACAATGGGAATAGAACCAGAATTAATCTTCCAGCTGAATGGCCACTGCCATTTTATTCTCCCAGCCGGCTCTCAAGTCTTATATGAGGCAAACGCATGCTTTTTGCCAATCTTACTAATGTTCTTTCCTGAGGTCCATGTTGTTGAGTTGGAGGCTCTGATGACTAAAGAGGGTAAGTCTGCAGGGGCACGTTATCTCCACCTGAGGAGAAGCCCCACAGGGGCCACCCTCTTTCCGAATGAGAGGGAAGGATTCCGTGACATAAATTACGGTGTGGGTGTCCTGGCCCAGGGATGAGAATAAAGCTTTGCCTTTCCACCCCCTTTTAATAGCATCTAATTACTTCCAGGCTTCTAGACAGTTTCACAACACAATGATTAACGTAGTGGGAAAAGCACTTTTCAGCTAGGCTGTCATCTATCTATTTTTTTTCTTCTTTAAAAAAAATTATGATTGAAGCTTAGTTGACATGCGTTATATTAGTTTCAGGTGCATGACAGTGATTTGACAATTCTGTACATTACTTGATGCTCAGCACGAATAGCTACTTCTTGATAACTGCGGGAATCCTTACTTGAAGCCATTTATCTGAGTTGAAGGCTGCCCCTAAAGATACATACAGCTGGCTACAGCTTTAGTGTAATGGCAATTCTCTAGAGTGAGAGAGATGTGCACCTAACTGGCAGAGCCTCTCAACATTCCAGATTGTTAGCTAACTCCACTCCAAGCTTGTCCTGTATCATCCAGAACATGCAGTATTGCTGTAACTGGTTTCAGGTCAATAGACGTTTAGGAAAGGCAGATGGGGACAGTATGGTGGGGAGGCCAACTGGATGCATAAATGAAAATGGGCCAAAGACACGTGTCACCCCCACATTAAAAGAAACCGCAGAGTCTACTGGTATTTACTAGGTAGTTGCTTTATATAAACACTGTGCTTACGGTAAATGCAGCTAAGTTGATAGTTTTTGCCTTGTGGGAGTTTTAATTTTATCACGGATGACCTAAATTCAACCAACACTCTTCACAACTGCCGACACCCTGTACCCACACACACGCCCATAGACTGCTCAGGCTGCCATAGCCAGATACAATACCCTGGGTGCGGTCAACAAGAGTTTATTTTCTCCCAGTTCTGAAGGACCACTAGTCCAAGATCAAGGTTCAAGCAGGGTTCCGATTCTAGTGAGGGCTCTTTTCCTGACTTGCAGATAGCCACTTTCTTGCAGGTCTTCATGTGGTGGCAGAGACTGAGGGTTGGGGGTTTGGAGCGTGGGTGGGAGCTCTCTCTTTCCTCCTCCCATAAGGCCACAGTACTTTCGAATTAGGGCCCCACCCTAATTTAACCTTCATGACCTCATTTAACCTTCATTGCATCCTGGAGACCTTATCTCCAAATACTGTCACACTGGGGGGTTCGGGCTTCAACATACAAAGTGGCGGG